AAGCCCTATTTGTGCTTCATATCCCTTGAGCAACTTTAAGTCCACAAAAAGCTCCTTTTTCCAATTCCATTCTAACTTAATTTCTTTAATAGTCTTTGGTGGAAAGCCTTGTCAAAGGCTGTCTGAAAATCTGAGTGCACTGGATCTTTGTTTATCCACATTTTCCTCTCTACTCCCTGAACTCCCTGCCAGGTATCAAGTTAGTATTTTCCTTTACAGAAGTTCTGTTGATTTTTTTTTTTCCCATCAGATGTGTATGGGCTCTAAAAGAATATTGTATGGAGTCTACTGTCTTTCTAGAATTGCAAGTTAGTGTTTTTTTCAGGACTTTCAAGTCTCTCAGGTCAATGCTATCTGATCCACCTCACTTAGTGATTTGGCTGCTCCAGTACTTCCTGCTATATGTTGTCACTGTACTGATGTTATAAAGAATCTGTGTGAGGTACTGTCTCATCATCTTCATTGGTACAGTTAGATGCCAAGAATTTGATGAGCTTCTTTGCCATGATCTTCTTATTGTTGAGTACCCTTTTCATCATCTGCTGAAAAATGATCCTGCCAATCCCCTAGCTGTCTTTCATCTTTCAAAGCGTTTAAGGAACATTTTAGACTCAGCATGGTCATCTGTTGCAAGATGATCTTGAAATTCTTCTTCCTCTTAATGTTCTGTTTATATTTGACCTGCCCTGTTTTATGGCTTTTCCTGTTCTCATTTTCATTCTCCTCACTTTCAGAAATTTTCCGATGATCTTTTCTTCACACTCCTACACATTTTGAGCAGCATGTCCACTTATGTACCTGAAAAGGAGTAGAGGGGAGAGTTTAATCTTTCATTGTTCTAGTTTGCAGTTACCAATAATGCATCCATAGTTAGTTTACTGTTTTCTTTTCTAAATTCAGAATATTTTCTGAATTCAGAATATAATTTTTGAATATTTAGGGCCACAAAGACGACTGGGAGACTGGACCACCTCCCTTATGAGGACAGGCTGAGAGAGTTGGGGTTGTTCAGCCTGGAGAAGAGAAGGCTCTGAGGAGACCTAGTAGCCTTTCAGTATTAAAGGGGGCCTACAGGAAAGATGGGGTGGGACTCTTGACCAGGAAGTATAGATAAGAGGTAATGGTTTTAAACTGAAAGAAGGTGGATTTAGATTCAGTGTTAGGAAGAAGTTCTTCACAGTGATGAAAGGACACTAGAACATGTTGCCCAGAGCAGCTGTGGCTGCCCCCTCCCTGGCACTGTTCAAGGCCAGGTTGGACAGGGCTCTGAACAACCTGGTCTAGTGGAAGGTGTCCCTGCCTATGTCAGGGGAGTTGGAACTGGATGATCTGTAAGGTCCCTTCCAACCTAAAACATTCTATGATTCTGTAATTCTCCTTTCTTTGGGTCTTCCTAGCAGCACCAGAAGTAAAAAAAATTGACTTCTGTCAAATGTGGGACTGTACAAATTGAGTGAATTAGAAACAAGACAATGTGGTTAGATGTCTTTGAAATTGGGAAAGAGTCTCTTTAACAAATTAACAAGTGATAGGACAATAGGTAATGGCCTCAAGTTGCACCAGGGAAGGTTTAGACTGGATATTAGGAAGCATTTCTTTCCAGAAGGGGTTGTTAGGTGTTGGAACGTGCTGCCCAGGAAGGTGGTGGAGTCCCCATCCCTGGAGGTGTTTAAGAGTCGGGTTGACATAGTTCTTAGGGTTATGGTGGAGTTGGAAACTGTCAATGTTAGGTTAATGGTTGGACTAGATGATCTTCAAGGTCTTTTCCAACCTAGATGATTCTATGATTCTGTGAAAATTAAAACTGCTAATTTTGAATTGTAAAGTGTTATATACTGAATATTTAAAAATCTGATACAAAAGATAATGCCTCTCATTTTTTAGTGATCAAAATATCCACAAACTGTGTTTATTTTTGTCATTTGGATTATGGTGGTGTAGAGTCACATTCAACAGTCTTGGATAATTGAACACATATGTACATCTTCTTGTGTTACGAAATGTGTCTATGGGTTTTATAATTAGATTTATTCAGGAAAATATACCACTGTGGAGTACAGTGATGTTGTGTTTGTAATATTGTGAATAATTTTCCTACCTGTTAATGGCTAAAGTAGTAAAAACTGTTAGTGATTCTATAGCAGTGATTCTATTCAGTTCAGTTCAGTTCAATTCTATTCTTGTTATAGTCCCATACTTCTGGAGGGATCTTGTATCCCTAGATGATGCAGGATGCTCTATGGGGAAGTCAGAGGTTTTGGCAAGCAGATGAGAGGTGATTGTGTAAAAGTGAGAAGTAGTGTGGGATTGTGGGATGTGCACTTCTTGTTTCACCTAAATTACAGTTGAAAAGTCGTTAATCTAACTGGCAGTGATTATTGCTTACACTTCAGTTTTAATGTCCAGCTGAGATTAATTAGAAGAAGGTTTCTCAGAACAGCAAGGTCTTGGAGCACTTTCCTAATTGCTGTTAGGAGAGCAAAAGGTACCAATGGCTTTTTTAAGGTGTAACTATAGCCTGATCAATGCTTTTTAAAAACTTTACATGATCTGGTTGTAGGCAATAATGTGAACTGAAATTCAGCAACCTGAGAGATCACTCCCAATCTCAAATTACTGTAAGTGCTGTGACTTGTGCATAGATTCAGGAAAGCATTATTAGCAGATTACCTAATGACTGAGTTGGCAGCTGGAAATTTTTTGCACATTTTAAAGGCTAAATGAAGTTAATTAAGGGTATCAGGCCAAAGCTTTATGTTCAGTTTTGATACTTGCAGCCATGGAATTGTCTAAGATGCTCAAATCTCAGCCCAGTGTATCTATTGGTGGCAAAATGTTAACTTGAGATGTATACCTCATGAAGGGCTCAATATTTCTTGGGTAAATGTTTATCAGTCCAATATATTTTTTTTAACATTTTCATACAAAAATACTTTCTGTAGAGCCTGCATGGTTATTTAGTGCCAACTTGAAGGAATTAATTTTAAATGGCTGATTTGCAAAACATTTAATTTTGAAGTTACTAGTTTTGTTTTAGAGATACTGCTGGTTTAAGAGATGAATAAAAATAGGGGGAAATGGCTTATGTAGGCATAAAAATGATGTGGAAGAGTTAATTCTTTAGTGAGTAATAGCTCAAGGTTTAGGGAGATTTATCTTCTTTGAATAGATTTTTAAATTCTTGAAAATATTCAGTATAATATATGTTCTGTGTCTCCTAGTACACGTAGTGCATTCTAAGAAATGTGGATTTACTTGCATTTTGGAAATTTTTCCAGTAAGTCAGTGCCTGCTCTGTATGCGGAGTACTGTTTCCTTGGAATTGAATTACTCTGGTCTTACATCTTCTGACCCTTGATAAACACACATCATCCACTCCCATCCATGTGATGAGCTTCCAAAATCTCAGAGAGCAGTATGAAATAGAAGTGACCAGAGCTTTGAATAAGTGTTCATATTCACTAACTGATTGTATCTATTTATATCATGTAAAACTGGTTTATCTTAGGGTCTGATCAGAAAATTACAAACAATCTTAAAGTGATGTGTGGTGAGCAGACCCTTTCAGCTGAGAATTGCTACCCCTTAGCTAGAGCAGGAGGGCTGACTGAATGCTTCAGGTTGTTGGCATGTGAAGTAAAGCTAGGTAAATCCAACCTTTCAGATGTGATGTTTCATCTGAGAGGGCTGAGAGCATGAATACAGTTGCTTTGTGATTACTGGACCATATCCTTAGTTTGTGCCTTAGGAGTATCTAAATGAAGGATGCGATGTATATACAAAACAATGTTTCTAATTTTATGGAAATAGTAGGAACATTAAAGTGCTTTCTGCTTTTTCTGTATTTTTATTACTTGAATTGAAGTTAAGGAGAACTTGACATCTGGTAACAGAAGTAGTTTATGAACTTTAGGTCAGGTCTTGGTTAAGTCTCTAAAAGATCTAGAATAACTTCAACTGACGTTTATATCACATTGTCTAGAAATCGTATGATAAGATTTGCATTACATGATTACACTACAAATCAGAAATATTGCAGACCATTTTGGAATATAATATCCAGATGTACTTGCTTTTTCTTCTACCCTTTGTGTGCTTCACAGTTAATTTCAAGACTCCTGCAATTAGTATGCTGTGTCATGTCATTTCATCTCATTAAGTGGAGAATTTTTGTAATCGGTTGGATGAATCTCACACATGCTGGCAAAAGCAGCATACACGTTTAAAATACACTAATTTGTGTTTTACACATTTCAAAAAATGGGCTGTATTTAGGCAGGGTTCAGTCTGCAGTGGAAAGGTTTAGATCAGTGAATTGTTTTCTGGCTAAAAATATTTGCCTAGTAAAAATATCTCTAGCTGTCACTGTTCTCACACTTTCCATATGACAATTATTCCTAATGGTAAGCTGATTTCATGCTGAAGGCTTCAGTTCAGCACTTGAAGTCATGCATGACTTTGCATCATGCTGGATCATTCCCTCTATTTTTAAAGGCATAATTCATGTCCTTGAATCAGACACACACTTAAGTAACTTGTTGAATTAGTGCCTATGTGGACATTGGTTTTCTCCTCAACATAATCAAATTTGGAACTGGAAATTACTTTATGTGGATGGGGTTTTTTTTCTGTTTTTTTTTTTTTTTTTTTTTCTGAATTGTGCCACCACCAGTTGTTGCTCACTTGAATATTTGTGGGTTTGCAGCTATCCAGATAGTAGAATTATTTTGTGTTAATCTTCACAATAATTATATGCCTCTCAACTGCTGTCTTTTCAGTTTACATGTAAAATTAGCATTTTGCCAACATTGTCATTGTTTAAAAAATAGTGAGGCAAAGTCTGGTTGTCCAGAGAGTCTCAGTTTAATGTGAATAGATACAAATTTAAAAGCAGAGTCACGTGAGATGTAACAGAATTTTTTAAAAGTCTAACTTTGATCTAGATGCGTAGCTATTTAGATATGTATTTACCTTGGCTTCTATATTTTAATACTTTTCAGACAAGTATAAAAGAAGGATTACTACTGAAGCAAACCAGTTCTTTTCAGAGGTGGAAAAAGCGTTATTTCAAACTTCGAGGTCGTACCCTTTACTATGCTAAGGATTCAAAGGTAATTCTATGCTTTTAGTGTCTAATGCCATATACCTGTAACTTCAATCTTGTTTATAAGTGCCATAATAATAATAATAATACTTAAATTATTTGTTAGTGGTTTTTTATTTTAATCAAAAAACTGTGGTATGTAAGATGTAGTGTGTTAAATTAACTAACTAAGGAAGACTGGTGATTTGTTTTGTTTTTTTTTTTTTTTTTTAATTAAGTTAAAAATGATCAGGATTTTTTGGGGGTGGCTCTCAGACAGTTAAATTTACCATTTTAAAAAAGAAAGTAAAAAGTAAAAAAAAAACCAAACTCAGAAGTTATCCCTCAAACTGAATTCCCTTAAAACTCTTTTAGTCTGATACCCATATTGCCATTAAAGAGATGGAAATGGTTACATGAAATCAAGATAGGAAGATTTTCTGCCAAAACTGATATACAAGGGAAAAAGCTGTTTTCCATTAGTTGACATTTTTGGTGGGAAAATTGGGGGTGGGCAGAGGGGAATACTTGTCTTCTTTCAGAAAAGGCATTTCCTCCCTCCCCCTCGGGGCCAGGACCCAAGAGCATTTTAGCTTGTTGGGCTGACTCAAATTGTGCTGTTCCATAGGGGTGGGCTTTTCTTTACCCTATGGGGTTGCAGCACTCATGGGAGCTGTAGGTGATGATCACCTCATCTTCTATAGCCTGGCCTTCTCAATAAAACTATACTAATGCATGGACATCTTTCTTTCTAGGACTATATGACTATTAATTGCATGGTGCACAGTTATGTGACTGTGGTGAATCAAGGAGAACCATCTCTCCAGGGAGGCCAGTGCTGAAGTACCTCTGTTGTCACACTTTTAGCACATGGCACTACCACCAGCAGTTTATATAATATATAGATATAATAAACATAGCAGATAAGAGCTATGAGAATGGCAATGTCATCTGTGCTATGAAGATGAGAAAAGGATGTGTCATGAGTAGGCAATTGTACAAATACTTTTTGTACAAAAAAAAATACAAAAATTGTACAATTTTGTACAAAAATTCTTTTGTACAACAAATATGTCCCAACATTAATTCTTCTTCCCATGGCATGGAAGAGGAAGAACATGGTATGGCTAAAAAAAAGGGGAAGGCATTTTTGCTGGTCTTCCCTTCTGTGCTTCAAAACCCGTCATGAATTTAGCAGAACCTAACTAATCCTTTGCCAGAAGCTGGGTGTTTAAAGAAGACATACATTTCTCTTGCTAGAATATCAAACAAAGGAGTAGAAGGGATCTCTTCAGGCCCTTGAGCTCTGTTTTCTGGTATGGATACTTGTATCATAGAATTTAGAATTCCATCCTAAAACTGACTAATTAATTTGTATTTTATGAAGTGTGAATCTCTTTCCTCTGACACCACATTTATGCTACACTGTAGACAGCCCAAAGATGCAACTATTAAAAAAAAAAATCTTTAAAAGAGATTTTAAAGCATTATATATTTTGGAGCCACTTTTTTTATGCTGTCATGTACCACTTAAATAGCAAATAGGACTGTGTTTAGGGGTCAAATAGGAAGTTTTATCAAGTTACCAGTATTTTTTATTTTTTCACCCCTTTTTGTTCTGCTTTTATTTTCCAATTGAAATGGACACAAGGAAATGAAAGCATAGACTGTAAGCATACCTGAAAGTGGCCTCAGACTATATTTGATGTTTTTCTGTTCTTTTCTATTCACAGTCTCTAATATTTGATGAAGTTGACCTGTCAGATGCCAGCGTAGCTGAATCAAGCACAAAAAATGTCAACAACAGCTTCACGGTATGTAATCATTATAATACCTCTTGAAAGCTGTGGGTAGACTGTTAGTAAGAAAATCAAGAATCATCTGAATTGGTTCTTATTTTCCTATTTGGAAATAAAATGTCTTTTATTTGGAAAAGGTATAACATATCAGAACAGTATCACATCAGCTATTGATAATTTTATTTCTGTGATTTTTTTTTTTTTTAGCAGAAGTTAGAATGTTTGATAACAGTTGCTTCAAAGGACAATGATACAAGGCATTAAAAATGTAGCAAGATTCAGTATTAGTACTTGGTTAGTACTTATTAGTACAGCTTGGTTTTATGCTGTAGTTTGTCTTTGAGATAAAATGCTGAATTGATTCAAATGTAATTCTGTTATTGTTATAATTTCTTACAATAGCATTTTTGGGTTTCTGTCATATTAAAGTGTTGGGGTTTTTTTCATTGCTGATCATATTGCTGTATGTTTCCAAGTCACGTGGAAAATCTGTCTTCACAGTCATACCTTGATTCTGATACTGGTATAAGAAGCAAAGAGTGTTTATAAATCCCTGTTTCTATAAGTCCACAAGTGTGTTTTACACACAGCTCTCTTAATTTGTTTTTTAACTCCTTTGTTGGAACTGAATGATAACATCTGACACAGTTCGTCTTCTGATTCTTAACCTCTGGAAAAGTAAATTTTTTTGAACAAGAACTAGCTAAGAGGAAGACTGTGGGTAAAGTTGATAAAGTTGTCCTTCCAAAGGTCTTGAGTGCAATGCTGACTGCAATGGCATAGTTTTTCTTAACCTGCAAATCCTGTTATTCTCTATTAAAAGTTTGATTTTCCATTTTCCTGAGGATTTTAATTTCACAGGTGGTCCATGTTACTATGTTGGTTGTTCTTCTCCAAAGCAGTACAGTGCAAGCCTCCTGAAAGCTTCATCAGGTCTTCCTTGCTGTGGTAGCTCCCAGGCAGCTACTGAAGTAGTCAGAGTACTTCAAAGATGTGTTTGCATTGGCCTGGACAGTCCAGCGTGTTATGTCAGTCTTAGTTTCTTTACTGTCTAAGAATACAATTAATAAAAAGATTACTTTGACGGAAGGGTTCCGATGAGGGGGTGGCTTTGTGAGGTACCAGCTTGCCTTTTGAAAAGGTTCTTGCTGTTGCTTAGAAGCTCTGCTTCTGCCTTGCTTCTGGCCAGAAATAAAGCTGTCATGCAAGGATCAGGATAGCTGAGGAATAATGAGGCAGACAAAGATGATGAGTTGAGGATCCCAGCAGTCATGACTGTCACTTGTTGTTCTCAATGGGTTATAAGGCTCAGCATCCCCTAAAGATCCAAACGTCCTTAACTGCAGCCTCCATTATGGGAAAAAGAAAATTAAGAAAAGTCTGGCTATACTGTTACTACTGGTCACTGAAGCATGAAATAAAACATTCATCTAGAGATCTAGGTAGACCAAAGAGCTGGACAATCACCAACTATATGAGATTTAACAAGGGAAACTGCTGGATTCTCTACCTGGCATGGAGTAATCTTGGTAAATTTGTACAAATTGGGGGACAGGAGTCTGGAGAGCAGGCCCGTGGAAAGAGACCTGGGGGTTTGGGTTGTTGGCAAGTTGAATACGAGTCAACAGTGTGCCCTGGTAGCTGCAAGGGCCAATCATGTCCTGGGGTGCATCAAACACATAATAGCTAGCTGATCGAAGGAGGCGGTTGTCCCACTCTACACTGCACTGGTGCGGCCCCACCTCAAGTACTGTGTGCAGTTTTGGGCACCTCAATATAATAAGGACATCAAGGTGTCCAGAGGTGTCCAGAAGATGTCCAGTGGAGGGCAACCAAGATGGTGAGAGGTCTTGAGGGCAAGACTTAGGAGGAGCAGCTGAGTCAACTTGGCTTTTTCAACTTGGAGAAGAGAAGGCTGAGGGGTGACCTCATCTCAGTCTACAACTTTCTCAGGAGAGGCCGCACAGGAGGAGGTGCTGATCTCCTCTCTCAGGTGAGCAGCGATAGGATATGAGGAAATGGAATGAAGCTGCACCAGGGGAAGTTCAGATTGAACATTAGGAAAAGGTTCTTCACTGAGAGGGTGGTTGGTCACTGGAACAGGCTCCCCAGGGAAGTGGTCACAGCACCAAGCCTGTCAGAGCTCAAGGAGCATCTGGACAATGCTCTTAGTCATATGAGTTAGTGTTAGGTAGTCCTGTGAGGAGCAGGGATTTGGGCTCAGTGATCCTTATGGGTGGGTTCCTTCCAACTTCAGATATTCTCGATCATATGATTTGGTGTAATTTTGTGTGGGGTATCCTTTATAATCCTCTAGGCCCTTTCAGTATCTCATTCTTCACCAAAGGCGTATTTTACATCTACTGTCAAGATTTCTGGGGAAGACGGTAGTGAAAAAAGAAATCTCAGAGGCTACAGATTTAACAGCTTTTGAGACACTATTTTCATGTCCTGGGTAATTTAGGGCAAACTGTTTTCTCTAAGGATTATTCAAATTCATTTTGAAAAAAAAATTTGGATTTAGAGCTCTCTTGGATTGCAATGTCATCTGTGCAATACGGTAATAGTTGTCATCTTGCTTAAACTTTTGGCTTTTTTCTTTGTGTTTGCCTAACCCAGTCTCCCAGAAACACAGCACAGTGAAGTAAGACATCTCTGGGTTACCAGTTGCCTTGCCTGCGCTGGTTTGGAGTGAGTGGTTGGGGATGGGGTGGGTGATCAGATTTCCAGCAATCCTCCTTATAAATAAACCCGAACATTTATTTTTGCTTCTTTTCCCCTCCATCTTAAAAAAGATAATCCAGCCTTTCTTAAAATTACTTTTTTCTTTATGTCCTAAGTGCCCTGTTAGCATTCTCTTTGTTAAAAAAGCAAAAATTAAATCCTTAACTTCAGCTTTCTAGAGTTAATATAGTCTTTGTTTTGTTGTCCCAATGGAGAGTATTTTTAAGACAAATTTACATAGCTGAGATATACACCAAATGACCATTTTTTCAGGAAAACACACCTTTAAAAATTTATATTAAAAATAATGATTTTTTTTTTTTTTTTAGAAATACTTTTGTCATTTCATTTAATTTCCCCCCCAGCCCTTCATTCTGCAGCCCCCAGCTTGTAGAAGCTAGTGGTTAGTCCTCTTTTGCTCATTTTGGTTTATTTGTTTGGAGACAGAGGTGTGCGTGTCAAGATTTTTCCATGCTCTTTTTCTGGGTAAAGCTCAAGTCCTAATATTCATCATAACACACAGATTTAAGGTTGAGTTTATTTGTAATGCACATGCTTGCAGAATATTTTATGTAACTAAATATCAGTGTTTATTCACAAGAATTACTTTTCCTTTCTTACTACAAACAAATTGAGGTTAAGGGGAAAGTTGAGATAAATAAATATCTTCTAATTAAAATGAGAAGCTGCTAAACTTAAACCAACCCATCTGTTTCAGTTTTTTCCTTATTGCTGATGATACTACTTTTCAATGAACAACCAACTTATTTCTAGCAAATAATTCGTAGTGCACAAGCTTGCACTAGAGTGCCTTGTAATAGATTATAAACATTTTGTTCTGAGCATCCTCATCTAGAGGCTATTAAATAGAGGAAAAGGTGATCCTTGACTTCAGAGTCTTTATATGAGACCATCAAGGCCAGATTCTTCCTACTTGCTTGTTAGGTACCAGTCTTCTAAAGCTGTGGGAAGAGAGTGAAGAGGCAGGAGAAGCCAATTCAGCCCATCAGAGATACACATCATGCTCTCCAATCAGCCACGTCAGGAGCCAAGGCGGGCTTTTGATCACCCCATGCCTGCAGTTCAGTGGTGTGGGTGAGCACTGCGTTCTTGTAATGGTATTGGGTACTCTGCTGAACGTTTTTTCCACAGTGCTTTGCTTCTGCCTCAGAGGATGGTTTATGTTGTTGTCTCATCACAACCACAGAGGAGTGTAGCTTCACAGTATGTTAACTCTTTGGGGAGGCTTTGGGGATGAATCAGTCTCCCATCCTTTGTTGCATGCAAGCAGATTGAGCAGTGACAAATTCTTCTGAGAGCTGTAAATCCTTATGTGTTTTGGTTTGCAGAGATGGAAGATGGCTTATTGATATCTGAAGTGCATTTAGAAAAATCTCTTTATTGTTCTCAAAACAAGAATTGAGACTGAATGAGGCTGAGTAGTGCTCTCCAGCATGCAAGCATGGGCACTTGGAACATTGATGGTGTGCTTTTTTTCTAGTAGGTATAAGGAGTGGTATTTTTAAACACTAGAATGATTCCTGAACAGGCATATTCAATCAATGAAGTTCGTCTTGGCAACAAAGGTGATTACGAATTGTGATTTAAAAGAAGGTTTTGACTTAGGTTAGCTTTTGACTTAGATTGCTACCTCTGCCTTGCTTTTGATCATGAAGAACTGATGCACATTGACGAGGAAAAAAATCTGTAGATATTAACCATGCTGCGTTTCAGTTGTTGAGCCACATGCATGTATAAAATGCCCTGGGTTATTATAAGTCTATCCTAGAATCTCACATAAAATGCACAGGCATCATGTGGCAGCACCTCTATTTAATCCATCCAAACTGATGTTTGAAACATTTAATTCAGTTATGAGTTTTTGTGTTAAATGTGATGGAAAATAATAATTTTAGGGTAGAAATATTGGCTTTGAGGCATTACTTTTTATCGCTCGCTTTAGACATTTGACTTGGGTTAGGCCAACTTCTAGTGCATCTAAGAATTACACAAAGCCATGGACTCTCAGTTTCTTACTATATGTCTATTCAGAAAAGTGATAATCCTGTGCAGATTAATTCTGTTATCTATTGTGTCCGAGAGTAACAGAAGTAATTTAATTGTTGTTCTGTAAGGTGCCCTCCAGGAACATAAGAATTAACATACTAGATGATACTCAAGATGGGGATTCAGCTTGCCCTAATTTCAGGGTGGGACTCAATGATAGGTTTATAGACCCCTGAATTTAGGTATCTAGGATAAGATTAATAGCTCTTTAAAGTAGACTCCTG